AGACCTCCCCATTTTTGAGCTGCTTGTCGTCATAAACCAAACACGTGCTCGTGGAGAAATGGGATGTCATTTCCTTTTCGGGGTTGATTGGCGGGTGCCCCGTTGGCCACGCCCCGCTTTGCTCGAAAAGTGTGAATGTTTGAAGATCGGCTCCTCAAGATGTCCTCTTCAATGGGTTTCTTGATACCCAACGTCAAAGCGAACGCCAACGTTGCTTCTCAGGATGATAGGGCCAGAAAAACTGCATGCAATCGAGGAATAGGGGGCAGTGGGTCGCTTAGGGATCGCGGAAGTGGTTCGCTTTGGGATCGCGGATTTGGGTCGCCCCGGGATCGCGTTTTGAAGAAGGCTTGTCGTGCATGCATGCGTGTTGACATGTATGCCTCGCGATGTATGTTTATATGCGCGCGTGTGTTTGCATGTATGCGCTTGTCTGTGCTTGTTGGCGTGTATGTCTCATGACATATGTGGCGTGTATGTCTCATGACATATGTTACTATGTATGCTGGCGAGTCCATGTATGTGGTTGTGTGTATGCCCTGCGATGTATGTTTGTAAGCGCGCGTATGTTTGCATGTATGAGCCTGTGTGTGTGTGTGTGTGTGCTTGTTAGCATGCGTGTAAAATAAAAAGGAAACGGTATGATGAAAGAAGCATGAGATGAAGAAGACAATTAATATTAAAAGACAAGATTAATAAGATATTCGTAGGCGCGCGTGTGTTTGCATGTATGAGCCTGTGTGTGTGTGTGTGTGTGCTTGTTAGCATGCGCTCATCGCGATGTATGTTGGCGCGTCTGTGTGCATGTGCGTGCGCGTGTGCGTGTGCTTATCATCCCCCCCACCCAAGCTCTGCAGCAGTTGAGCGGGTGTGCTTATGATCCCCCCCCCTCAACCCGCCCCCCCCCCCCAGAGCCATGTTATTTTGTAATCCGGTAAAAGGGCAGGCTGTCTGCAGCGGTTGAGCGGGTGTGCTTATCATCCCCCCCACCCAACCTCTGCAGCAGTTGAGCGGGTGTGCTTATGATCCCCCCCACGCAACCCCCCCCCCCCAGAACCATGTTATTTTGTAATCCGGTAAAAAAGAGCAGGCTGGCCTGCAGCAGTTGAGCGGGTGTGCTTATCATGCCCCCCCCCCCAACCCCCCCCCCCCCCCATGTTACTTTGTAAAAGAGCAGGCTGGTCTGCAGCAGTTGAGCGGGTGTGCTTATCATCCCCCCCACCCAACCCCCCCCCCATGATCAGTGAATGTGGTCCCTAAGTGATCCGTGAATGTGATCCCTAAGAGAGCGGAATGTGATCCCTGAGTGAGCGTGTATCCCTAAGTGTCCGTGATCCCTAAGTGAACCGTTTGGGCGATCCCTAAGTGACCACTCTGCCAGGAATAGGACCAAAAGAAATCAACCTTGGGCGGCGAATTCCTGTTGAACTGTTGACCCAGAAGCTCATGGGTGCCACCCAGTGGGTTCCATCTCTCAGGAACCACCCTCCTCTCGCAACATGTTGGCTGAGGTGGTCCTGTGCAGCAGCGCCATTGAGGTGACACCCGCTGCCGAACGTCGGTTTTGGTCGCTTGAAAAAAGTGCGTGGAACATCGGGTCGACACCTGCTCCCAAGAGAAAGCTTTGCCGATTTTTCGCAGGAGCAAATACTTGGGCCGAACTTTTAGAGACCGCTTTGCCCATTGGCTCGTGCGCTACACAATGGACCAAAGCGAAGCTTCGATTTTAGATAGCCATCCCAAGGACATCAGTCCTGATGAATAGTTTTAAAAAATCAATCCTTTTCTCCGTTGTCATTTCAGGATTACACCGACTCGAAGTGTTGGCTGTGAATTAGGCCCTCTCAGGACACTGGTTTGAGACACGATGTTTGATGCACGCATGGGTCTCAACAGAAGAGCCCGTTTGCCGAACATGCAAAAGTTGTGGTCATGACCCTTTTAAAAATGGAAATGCTGACAAGTGTTGTCCCGCTTCCGTAACTCGGGTTGATTCCCAAAAGCCACCAACGATAGAATGCCGGTCTTGAGAAAGTATGCCGTGGGAAACAGCAAGTTCGGAGACCTTTACTGGCCCTTGGAGACCCGCTGAGCGAGTGAGGAGCTACATTCGTCCAGTGCAGATTAGCTTTTGCGCATGGACAGGTCATTGACGGCCGGGAGGTATTGCCGCAGGAGAGAGAGAGAGAGAGAGAGAGAGAGAGAGACATTTCAACTGCACACATCACGGGCCTGTGAGATGTTGAAGCAAAAGGCGCCGCATGCAGCAGACCGATGGGTGCGGCCAAATACCAGCAATTGTGTTGATTGTCGAGCCTTGAAAGAGCGCATGCAATGATGAAGGCAGAAGTGTGCCTGAGCGAACCACTGCCATTGACCACGCGAGCCAGAGACAGCACTATCTGAGGGCACCCGCCCTCAGCTACCATTGCCGTAGATTTCCGGACAGTGCCAGATGAAGCTAACATTTAAGACCTAGAGGTTGAAAACCTTGGTTGCCTTCCTTTTTTGACCAGAAGCACTGTCGACCACCCAACCCCACTGTCATGCACTTGTTCAAGGCTCACATTCAAGCCATTGGGCCTGGCCGAGGATCCTTTTTCTTGATGAAATGGGTTCGGCCCTCGTTGAGCCGAGGGCAGGCCTTCGGATCCAAACCAAGCCGTGCCATTTGTTGGATATCCTCTCAGTGTTTCTCAAGATCAGTGATCAGACGGGCCTCACCAGACGGTTGGTTTCGCTTGGATTTCCCTTTGATTATCTTTGGTTTCCGAGTGTTATACTACTTCCCTCAAACTGGTTGGTGTCCTTTTGGTTATGAAACCTTCCGGGCGTCACCATAGGTGCTCTTTTTAGGTGAGTTTGCTTAGAAATAGATGGGGTCACTGGTTTACATTGGTTTTACTCCATTTACCAGACCCATCTATTTTACCAAACAAACACCTGTGGGCGTCACTTGCCTTCCGCTTTGCTTCTGGTTCTGAAGAGTGGCTTTTCCATTCGGAGGAGCGGGACTTTGTCCGGCGCCTGGATGAGCAGAAGCGGAAGCTCAACGCCTTGGTCTCAGTTTGCAAGACTTACTGTGGATGGTTGCGAAGTCCTGCACTACCCAAGACACCCTGGTTGAAATTATGGTTTGTTGGTATTTACAGGGGATCATTTATCATTCTAGGGTTTCTTCGGTGGTGCGAAACGGGTTTCGTCCATCCACAGTAGCTTACCTCTGGGTATGAGTTTGGATGGGTCCCGGACTCTGTGCACGTCAAAAAGTGGGGATTTATGTCCACCACTTTTGAGGAGCCTGCAAGCAAAGCAATACCCTTCCGCACACATGGAGTTTGGGCAAGTTAGAGCGACCTCAAGGGACCCATGGTCAAGGTTCTGTTCTTGGGAATCCTGGCGAGCTCGCCATGTAGGTCCCTTACCTGGAGATCCCTTGTAGAATTTGTAACAGCCTGATCTGAGGTATGCCATCATTGTAGTTTACTTAGATGGGCATCGGTACCTTGTTTTCGGGGGAATCATAGCCCTTGCACCTCTTTCACTCAATTCCTTCATTGTCGCTTCTTTTGCAGGAGGTCCAAGTCCGGCCCAGATTTGGAGACCTTTCAGGGCGCAATAAAAGGGACACCAACCTTGTCAAGGGTGTTTGAATGGGGTCTTGGGAGTTCATACGGGAGAGACACCCATATCGTGTTGTTTTTTGTTATTCTTCTGCTTTCTATTCCAACTTGGGTCCAGCCAGGTGGGCGTAAATTGGGAAGATCAGCTTGGCGGAGCCAACAGTTTCTATTCTGTGTTCGGCAACTGTCCATTTAGGAAGTGGGCGAAGCGTTGTGAAGATGTCTCATTCCCGTGCTTTTGTGTTGACTTCCTGTGACGGCTAGAACGAATCAAAAATCAGCACTACCCTTGCAGATGATTGGAGGGTGTTGCTTCCCTCGCACTATGTTTAATGTTGGAGTTTGTCCAGGCTGAAGCCAACCAAAGCTGTCTTATTTGCAAGGTCACCCCCTTGATGCTTGGAGTCCTTTGAACCATCCGACGCAGGCGCAGCGCCGGCGGCATTTGAATCGAGTGTCCTCAGATGGACGGCCCGTACCTGGAGGGCTGGAGAAGGCCGGGCGGGTTTTGGTTGGCAAACACAGAGTTTCACCCATCGAAGAGGTAAACCTGTGCAACAGCCCAAAGGTGTTGCTTGACCAGAAGAGAGCAATTGTCAATTCCGAGGTCAAGAATTAATTGTCATTCTTATAGGAAGCCAGAAGGGGATTGATAAGTAGCTTGCTTGTCCAACCTCTATGCAACACTCAGCCTTTGCTCAACCGTCATGGGAAGGGTTTTATGTCACCCAGTATACTCCGAGTTGCCATGATCATAGAATCGGCAAACACGCAAGAACTGCCTTTCCAGGAGAACACATCTCTAGTCTGCCACTATAGGGTATTTGGGAACCATCGGCTCAGTCGCCACGGTCGAATTATTTTGGTGATGGTTGATCGAAGTTCCCATCATTCCCTATGAGTGACAGGGTCCAAGCTTTTGCAAGAAATTAACTTTCATTCACCCAACACTGGGAGGGGGGGGGGGGGGCGGGACATTTGAAGTCATCGCAAGAGGGAACATCGGGATTCCTCGCTGCGGGTTTTGCAAAGTTCGCTGCTCGGTGCTTGCTTGTGGAACAAGTCGTCGATAGCAGGGAGCCCTACTACGTTAGTGTCGTGATCCCGGTTTGGGATCTTCCCCTGTGCTAGGACTGCTTTCTGTTGGGGAACGGTCAACGTCTAGGATGGATCAGGCAATCGAAGTTCAATTTGAGGCGTACTCCCGAAGGGCACACGTACAAGGGCAACCATCACGAGATCGCCCAGATCGGGTCCAACTGATTTTGACATGCCCAAATTTGCCATGCAGGAAGGCAAGGAATGCTTGGACCAACGCATCTCTCGGCCCAAGCTCCGCACAGATTGGGCCCAGCCGGGAATCGAACGTGTCGGACCATGGCGGGCCCGACGGGGCCGTCGGGCCACTCGTTGACTCTCTTGGTGTTGGGATTCTCCCTGACCGCTGGCTTCATTGACTTGGTGACTCTGGTGCGCTTCAGCCAGCGTCTCATCGTGAACTTGTGTACAACTTGTTTCTGAGGGCTTTTGTACGCAAAACACAACATGTTGGCCTTCACAATCCAAATCGATTTGCGTTCCGGAGTTGTTTGGTGCCAGTTTGGGCTGATTTGAAATTCAAGATGGAACCTGTTTATTTTCAAATCATTACGTTTTTTGAGGGGTGTAGTTTGAAAGTTGAAACATATGTTGCTCAACATGGAAATCAACTTGTTCCACCTGTTCGGCTGGCTTTTCATCCTCTGCTCTGGAAGGCTCTTCCAAGCGGGCAAACAAATGTCTTGATCCGGCCCCAATGGCAAGCGCAAGCAAGCCCAAAAACGGTGTGTTTCTTCAACTAGGTTAACCGAGGTAATAACATGATGCTTCCAACGAGATGCGCAAACAAAGCTCAATCAAATGCTCTCTGTATCAAATGACACAAGGACTGATAACAATATGCTTGAGCCCATTCAGCTCGATTCAGCCCTGAATTCGTTTCGGCAGGTTCGCCGCCATGCAGACGGGCAACATGATCATGATCGGACGTGACCTGTACCGTCTTCTGGTTGCCCAGTGGGGTTTTGGCCCGTTCTTTATTCCATTTTTCTGTGTTTTTCTTGCCTTGAACCAGCCCATCATCTCCCTTTAACATGAACCTATTTGCCCTCAAGATCAACCAAGTCATCTGCCAGAAATCAACCCTTGCTCTTTGAGCTTCGTTTCTTCATTTCTTTGTGGACTGAGGCCTCACCTTGCCCAACATGTCGCGTGACGAGCTCCTGACCAGCATCGCCTTCCATGTGGCGACTTTGGTGAGTCACTTCGCGGGGGCACCTCGTCCAACGTTGGCAAAAGGCGGCCTGAAAGGGGATAGGCCCCGGTTGCGTTTGGGCAAATCAAAATACGGATGTGGAGCTCCCGCCAAAGAATAAAACGAAGGTGGTTTCGATTTGGTGTCCCTTTAAACCAGCCCAACCTCCAACAACCTCCAAAATCAGGCGATTCTTTTCAGCAGGCCGCTCAAACACACGAGCTCAGAACTAAAGGCTGTGTCCGGACATCACTCTCTCTCGAACAGGAACAGCAGCGCTTTGTTTCTTGTTTATTTTTCGAAGGCCCTGATTGGTCTGAAATAGTTTTGCTGACATACCCTTTTGCGTCTGTTGTTTGAACCAAGCGTTTCGGCAGGCATCTCAATTGGTTCCAGGCGGCTGTTTGTTTCAATTGGATGTGAGGTGGTGTTGTTTTGCGCCTTAGCGCATTGGACCAGATATCCCGTGCGGTGGGCAGCTCTGCTGGTGGGCGTCTTAACCGCCTCGGGCGCCTTGCTGGATATTCTGTCCAAGGGCAACTTGGCGAACGGCCGATGGACCAACCCCACCTTTGTGGTGTCCCGTTTTTCACTTGTGTTTGCTTTGCGTTGGTTTGAGTCATGCAGGTTTCCTACAATTGGCCTGTGCAACCCAAACTACCAGTGTATCAAACTTCCAAACATGTTTCAAACGACAGCTTTCCCCACATCGACCACATCCAAAATGAGCAGAGGCAATGACTGGGGCGTGTGCCTGGTGGCTGCATCGATGGGGGCCATGAACTTCATCCCCTCCCCCAACTCCGGTCTCAGCAGCAAGCTCTTCATGATGACTGCCATCGCCACAGGTGGGTGTGCAAACCTGAACCGAGCTCAGGGCTCTGGCGCTGTTGGGAAGAACATTCGAAGAGGTAAACAAAGTGTTCGGAATCTTTGGGCTGTACAACGACTATAGAACCGAAACTAGGAGTCCTCCAAACGGCAATGACGTTTTCTTGGCGTCTTGTCCGTCTGCAATGTCCCGCCCCCACACGAGTTGCTGTGTGTCGAAACCAATTGCACCCCTTCAAACTGCAACGGTTCCCGGTTTTTGACGACCATTGGTGCAAGGTTGGGGTTCAAACAAATCCACTTGGAGCGTTCAAATGACTGCAAGTGTCAACACCGTCCCCCCCCCCCAAATATATATATATATATACAAACAACAACCAAGAAAACACGCAAAGCAAAACAACACAATCCAACTAAATTTCAACGTGACACATCACGACTAGGGCGTCCGCTCAAATGTTCAACCCCAGAGCGCCAAGCCGAACCGAGGATCATGTTCCTCACAGTGGCAGGTGTTTCAAATTTGGTGGGGTGAAATGAAAGAGCTCCACTCTGAGACCCAGAACGCAGGTCTTCCTTTTGCTCTTTTTTTTGAAAAGGGGCTTGGGCCTCTTGTGCCAAAATGCCTGGCAATTGTGACAGGCAACTTGCAGAAATGCGCGAAGATGTTCTTCAAGCTGATCTCGTGTCGCCTAGCGCAAATGGCTGTTGACATGTTTTTCAAAGTTTGACTCAGTTCATTGTCTGGTTTCCTGTTCTTGCCACCATTCGTACGCCCCAAAGGCTGTCCTTCATTTCTGGCTTGATGATCGAGGCCAGAAATTTTCGGATGCGGATCGCGAGCAGACCTGCCGTGCTGCCACGACGGTGATTGCGACCATTGTCGGAGCCATTTTGGGGGCCTTGGCGTTGTTTGCGAAGCCATTGGACACGACCTACGGACAGCCGGGACCCAAGGGACCCAAGTTCTCAGCTTCAGCTCGGTGGTTTAGCGGCGGCTTTGCACCGATGTTTGTGTTCCTATGCGAGTCGTGGGCTTGAGAATCTGAGACGGCTTTCTTTTACAAACGTGCATTCCTGCATGTTTGTTCATCCCAAGCTCCCAGTGAACCGCAGGAACAAGGGAAGGTGCCTTTTCAAATGTATTTTTTGGTGATCAAGGCGTCCCCAAGAGAGAGGCAACCAACGTTCATTCACCGTCGTCTATTCTGTCTGTAGCAAAGGGGACGTCTCTGCGGAGGCAATTCTGGTGGGGTGCTTGGAGGCCGCCCTTTTGAGTTCGTGGACGGTCTTGGCATCTCAGATTGTTCGTAAGTAGTCTGATGCAGTTCATGGAAGGGAGAGCTGCACCTGAGTCTGTCACTTCCCACGGCATGGCTATATGTTTCCATAGGGAGCCACCTTTGAAGTGAGTGCGGGACATGAATCCTTACCTCAATGGCGATGTTCATTCCCAGGTCCATCTACTTGCTGCTGATGGCTCCCCTGCAGTCGCTGGTGCTCTTCTTCCACGACTTCATTTTCCGGCCCCGCCCCGAAGCTCGAGAGGCAGGGCCTGGCAGCCTGGGTACCGAGTAGCTCATACAATATGTATATATATATATATAGATTCCTTACTTTCCCAGAAGGAAACGAAAAGGAGACGGGCAAGATGGGGTAAGTCTTGAAGTTGTTTACGTTGCAGAATTCGTGCAAGCACACACCTGATCTCCTTTGAAGGGACACCAGTGGACAAATAGGTGGGAAGCAGCGGCTTACAGAATATTTAAGACGAAGAATTGCGGAAGCTGACATCATGATGGTCCCTCAGTTCGGGCGAAGAACCAGGCAATCTCGCCTGTGGTGGCAGTGAGTCTCCCGACAACGGAGGCTGCTTTGTGCCCAGAACAAACAAAAGGTTCTGCTAGGCAGGCACAGGCATGTATCCTTTTGTTTTTGCAACAATGTTCTTGTCGGTGTGTAGCATCGTCTCGGGCAAGCGCGGGTTGGTTGGTTGGTCAGTTGGTTGGTTTGTTGGCTGGCTGGCTGGCTGGCTGGTGTCTAGCAATTAAGAACATTATAGAATATTAAGCATCAACAAACAACTTATTGGGCACCAGTTTGCTGCAAAACACAGTCAAAAACAGATTGGGCATCAGAAACAAACTTGTTTGTCGGGCATGGCTTGGGTTTCTTTGTATAGAGTTTGTTTGGCGCGGTTTTACTTCGGGTTGATTTAGGGTTGTTTGGCTTAGGGGTGGGTTTTGGGCGGGTTTTGGGTGAGTTTAGGGTGTGGTTTAGGGTCGATGTAAGGTGGCATTCTAAACCCACCCTAAACCCACCGCCCAAAACCCACTTCGAACCCAGGGATATTGCCAGGAGCTGACCGCGGACTTGGGAGCCAGCCTGGCGGATATGAACCCCCCACGCGCGACCGCGTGAAAGGGACATGTGGACGCAAGGAATCGGCGAAGGATCCGCCTGTTTGCCCTGCACGAAATCACGGCGTTGGAGCCTTTGGGTTTTTTCTTCCAAATATCATGTCAAACAAACCCGTTGCTTGCAAAAGCAGGCTCCCCCACCTGGGAAACGGGGAACCGACGAACCCTTTGTTTGTTATATAGATGCAAAGCGAAATGTGGACCTCCCAGGTGGGGTGTTGAGCACTTGGGAAACTCTACCAAGTCAGTGCCGGCGAAATTTGGCCTGCTCCTAGATGTCATATAGCTCCTGAAGCTGACTGAGCCTGCCAAAGGCAGGCGCACATGGTTAGTAGTGGGCCGGCTATGCATCGCCTCACATCGATTGAATGAATTGAAACAGAGCGTCAAGCGGAGCGCTCGTTTTGGAGGGTGTTTCAAATGGAAGCCAACGGGGAGGCCGCCGATGATTGAGATGCTTCAGCAATGAAAGACATGCCGTTTGTCAGTAACTTGGGGGGAAGTGGGCTCAAACACAGGCCAAGCAACACAATTGCGTCAAGACCAAGGATACGATATTGACGATTCGAGTTTAGGAAACCCAGCAGCCGGGTTGCGCTACAGTTGCTAGCATGGAGGAAGCTGAGCGACTGGTTGCCATTTGATTGCTCCGTGCAAGTGAGGAGCAATGCTGCCAGATAATTTGTCCTGAACAAGGAATTTGGTGCCTGAACTAGGAACCCCATTGTGTTTGGCGTTCAAATGATGTTCAATGGAAGACCTAGCATCCACAAGGAATCCACCAATTTCCAGGATTTCCTGTTTTGCGAAACACCTATTTGTTTTTGTTAGACTTGGACGGGCTTGGATGAGCATGGATCTTTTTAGACGAATGTAGTCTTTCATGAGGTTTAGGTTGTGCTGGATGCTCTTCTCCATTTCTGGGTTTTGTTGCATGGGATGGATGCTGGTGTAGAATCAGATTTACGTCGAATGTGTGTGATGACAAAAGTTGAAGCTAACAATAGAACACGATCATGTTCATGGGCGGGAATATCTCGAAATGGCGGAATCAAAACTAGTGTTTTTCCCCTTGGTTGCCCTTTAAACCAACCCCAAACATGTACCCTCAAGAACCGACATACCATGTGCCATATGTAGCTCGCCACATTGCCAGGGGCAAGGTCGCCACATCGATGCAGAAGGCCTTGCCGGTTTGATGGATTGCGAGACCGGTTTTCCCAGCTAGAGGGTGCTGATTGTGGTTCAGATTGCATGTATGGTTGTTCAACCACCCCTGACTCTCTAGACTTTGGAAATGTGCAGGAGCCTGACGATTTTTGCTGGAGCACACTGTCCCATACAAATGGAAACGCCCGAGGGATTTGGCGGGATTTCTGAGTCTGCAGACGGTCATGGAGTCCCAATGGGATATTACCGCCTGCCGCTCGCTCCCTCGAGCATGCTGTAGTAGAAGGGGCGCAGGCGGCTATTTGCCGGCTGCTCACCTTTCAACACCTGCAAAATGTTGCGCCTTTGAAAGGTGGTGTTGATCTTTGGGTGGCTGACCCATGTCAAGTGTTTCCAGTCCAGCCACTGAAATACGGGGTTGAAGCATGACAATGACTTGTTCACCCTACACCAGGATGCTGGCCAGGGCTGAAAGACCTGCAAAAGCTTGGGTTTCCTGCAGGGATGGTCAGGTTTTTGTTGGGGATTAGACCACCATGCATGATGGTTTGGGCATCCTCTCTTGAAGATCAGGTGCTTTCAATCAAGCAGAACCATACATGACCGGTGACTATGGCCCACCTAAAGAGTTTTCACCCTGGCACACTGGCCGACGAGCTCGGACAGCCGCGCTCGTGTTCGGCTTGCCAGCCGTTTCCGGGCGTATCGCAGGCCAGAGAACCCTGCTGCAGGAGAGCTGAACGAACACGAGTCGTGTTGGGGCGGCTAGATGTTGCCTTGTCGCCCCCTTTGGGAAATGAGTTTGCTCTTTGCAGTATCAGTATTTTGTCACAAGGGTCAAAAGATCAACGACTCAAGCCACACAACATGGCGCGCGCGTCTAAGCCCCCATCAATGCTGCAAGGGTGTAGCCAGTTCCTTTTATTATTATTCTGACTCGCATTGATTTGGGTCTTTGCTCTCTTGTCCTTGCATTGAGCGTTTCTATTTTTTCCGAATCACAGATGGCTGCCCACTTCCACAAATACGGCTCGATCTCCGCGCAAAGGGGTTGCCAATTCCAGTCACATTGGCAAGCACCAGGCAACGGATCGGCTCCCCCAGTCCCGTATCTTTGGGAGCCCAGGTTTCAGGTTGCCGACTCGTTCTTTCTATCTCTTTTTTTTGTGGGGCGGGGTCAAATGCCAATGTGGGCGCAACCTGGGGAATCCATGGCTAAATGCGGGGCGTGCCGTGCAAGCTTTGGATGAAACTTCCCTAGGTTGCTTTCGCCGGGATTCTGTTATTGGTTATTTGGGCTTTCCGCAGGAATCGTCGCATGTCGCACGAAGTACGCCCGCCCGGCAGGACCTGACCATGTGAGTTGCAAGGGTCGCGGTGTCCAGAGAGCAGAGTTCTTCTTCCACAACTGTTGTTTGTATACTTTCAGACAAACGCCCACACTTTCAGGGGGTCAGGTTCTGTTGAATGAAACAGTCTTGCACGCATGGCTGACGGCCTGGCCAGTCTAGCAAGTTGGTCCGCGCACTGCTCACGCTGTAGCTTAGTCCATGGAGCACCACAGTCGAGAAGTGATGGAGCAGGGATGCGGGAGCTTGTTTTGTTGTTTTTCTTCAGCACCAGGACCAGACACTTGTGGTGCCCCGCTGACATGTGGTGTCACCAGAATTGCATGCGTTATTCGCTTATGCCAGGAATTTACTGGTTTGACTGCCTGTTGAAGGAGATCCTTCGAACTTGTCAGGAAAAGGGAATTTGCTGCCTGCCTGAGCAGAGTTGGTGTCGGCAGCCTGCGAAGAGAAGTTCCGGCTCCCAAGTTCGACTGGATTAAAAGTGGGCCTGATGAATGGGGAGAACTCCGTGGCGAACGAGCGCTTGTTTGCCATTTCGGGGCAGGTATCCGGGTGGGGGCCCCGACCAGCGGTTGATTTGGTTCGTTAAGCCGATGTGCTTGGCAGCTGTTAAGCTCAGTCGAGCCATGGCGGGCCAGATCCCTCGGCCGAGCAATGCCAGAAGCCCGGACACAGCGAGAGTGACTCTCTTGAATTTGGAGGCCCTTTCCCCTCTTGAGTAGTTTGCAATTAAACCCGAATGTGAATCCCAGGTGGAGACAACGAACACGGGGACCGTCTACCACGTGCAGGAGGATGGTAGCAAGGTGGACCATGCAAATTCTCATGGCAAGAGAGCGATTTCACAGAAAGGCCAGTGACCTTGCACACCACTCAAAGACGGTTTCGATCTACCTTAGGGGGTCCCCTTGCCCAAAGGTGGCAAGATAAAGACTCGTAGACCCTGCTCGGCATCCCTTGTTTGGAGAACGAGCAGATGGATTGGCCCTGCACTCTGCAGTCGTGGATGCCCGAACTATTTCAAGCAAACCAACCACAAATTAACCATGGGAATTTTCAGAATTCCTTGTTCCCTACAACGATTCGGTCGCATTCTATGCTTGCTGGCCCTGGCACAGGTAATTGCGGGGTCCCGGCGGCCAGACGGAACCTTGCGCAAGCCAGTTCGAGTGAGGGCAGGTGCGATCCTTTGAACAGATTTGCTGGGCATTTCCATTGCTTCAGGTGGGTGTTCCTGAAAGAGAATCTTCTTTTAGTGGTGTGTTTACCAGTTTTTCTTCAAAGCCACACATTGGGTTCATCATTTCAGGAAGCCCCCAAGTTGGCAGTGTGCATGTGAGCGGCATTCCAGACCTGCAGAGCTCTCGCACATCCGCCCTTAGGCTACACGCCCCTGGAAGAGAACTTGTACAAGGGCCCAGAGGTGTGCAGCGACTGAAAAACCTGTCCGTTGGAGCCAAACGCCGTGCGAGGCCCAGCAGCGGGCGCAAACCAGGCGAAATGACCGGACTGCTGGAGCTGCCAGAAAACTTGTTTGCTTGCGGTCGTTGATATGGGACCGTGTGGTGGACATCATTTAGCTGGGGATTCATGTCCACCAAACACTTTTGGAGGTGGTTCCTTAGTGTCATGGTTGCAGCAGTGCCTTTCTGCATCTTGCCCTTCAGCTATAGGTCATGGCCTTGAGTCTTCCAACGTCAATGGTGTGAATGGAGCAGAGGGTGCAAGGTTTGGGGAACCAAACAATTGAACAGCTCACCAGACATGTCGGGCTCCTAGTTTCGCAGGGGAATTCCTGGACTTGGGCCGTCTACGCCGCAGCCGGCCAGGATGGGCTAACGAAACGCGCTGAGGGTCGCCGGTTTTGTCGAGCTCTTCCGGGGTCGGAGAGAAGCCTACCGTTGAGGAGCGGATACATCCCGGGCATGGCTGCGTCCTCAGCGCTAGCGCGCTAGCTGTGCCATAAATGTCTCAGGGTTGGTAAGGGATGGTAATAAATGACAAAGTATCCAGCCAAAGTATCCAGCCCCAGGGCAACGATAGAGGTTCTTAAGGGAAGCATTGCTATGAGAGTTTCGACCACAGCTTTCAGATTTGTCGTTGCACCTGAGATCTGGCTGAGGGGCCGCCAGAGCAGCCCAAGGCAGCAAAAGCCAAGGCACTTGAGAGTTTGGGTGTTTGGCAATGGTCATCCATACAGGGGAGATTTGAGGTAAGATTCGGGTGGACGACTGTTGTCTTGAGGAGGACTTGGAGGGAGGCGCAAGTTTGCCACATAAAACCAAGTTGGGCCCGTTTGGGGCAAGTAAGACAGTCCGTGGCTCAATTAGTGGTTGTGATGGTTGGCAGAAGTCTGGGTCAAGCTGCCAACTCCGGCTTCTTGTTTGGGTCCACCTGACCTCAACGGAGCGATTGTCGCGATCTCCAACTCGGACGGCGAGCTCTCCGAATTCGCGAGGCGAAGCCTAAGGAGCCAAAGCCCAAAACGGAGGCCAAGCCCAAGGCAGAGCCCAAAGCCAAGGAGGTGAAGCCAGAGGCGCGGCGCGGCGGGTTTGGCACATGTGTTCAGCTTCCAGTAGGGAGCCAAAGGGAAGGTCGTTGGGTACTTGGCCGTTATCAGAGAGGATGGTCGTCTAGTTTCATTCGAGAAGGGCCTCATGCTCAGATGCTCAGGACCCCAAAGCTGAGGCCAGGAGCTCAGAAGACGTGAAGACGCGAGTCTTCAGTGTGTCTGTAGGGCGGGGCAGGGATGCATGACGAAAGCACGAAGAAGCTTCAGGTCTTCAAGGCTTCAGGGCAAGGCTTGTGGACTTTGGGGGCCCGCCCGCGGCCTCTAGGCTCTTTCGCGCAAACCAGCAACCAATCAAGCAGACAACCAAGCCAACCAAGCCGAAGAACACAATCACACAATCCAAACCAATCCAGGCCAGACCAGACCAACCCAAAGCGGACCAAACATGCAGACAAACAGGCAGGAGGGCAAGCAAAAAAACAAGCACATCCCAAGAACAAAGCAAACTCTGTCTAGCAAGAACACACAAAAGCTCCAACAAACACAAACACGCACGTGAAACGCGATGTAAAGCACGAACAGGGGCCTCATGTCTGGCACATTCCCAGGTGAAGCCGGAGAATCGGCTTCGGAACCTGAGAGCTTCGGCTGCAAGCCGAAAAGACTGGAGTCAGGCCATAGATCGATGCGGTTCAGTGGGTTATGAGGGCTTGATCCAGTCATAGCAACATGGCGTTTTCTGCCATTGAAGAGATTTTTATGTTTCTGGTGCTGTCCTTTTGGCTTGTCCCAATGTTTGAAAGCACTTCCCTTGGTGAGTCTTCCTGACGGTCGCTTGGGAAGAATGCCCTTCTTTCCAGTTGAGTCCAGAAACGATTTCCCATTCGCAGCACAAACCCATTGTGTTGGTTTTGTTGAGAGGTTCCTTGTTTGTTTGAAAATAAAGGGGGGCCAACGGGAAGCCGCGCCATGGGAGTTCCCCGAGCCCACACAGAACGAATTGGACCTTTCGCAAAGCCCAGGAGCCATCAGGAGCCACTCATGGGGCGCGGTTGGTGTCCTCTCCAAAACAGATTCCTTGACTTTGAGCCGTGCTTTGGACGATAGCATGGCGCTGGTACGCGCCATCCGTGAGGCTCTCCTTACGTCGGGATCTATGGCTGGTTTGTTCAAGCCCATCGCGCACCCAGCCCTCAAGTGGCGTTAAGGTGGACTTGTAAGCTGAATAGCCCGACTGAGGAAAGAAGCTCACGGAGATTTGCTCCCTGGAGGCGCGCGACATTGAGGTGACTCCTTGGAAGCAAAAGGGGCTCATGAATTGAGCGGTTGATTTTGAGTTGCCCAAGGCAGCCTGAAATGCTCCTTTGCACGCCCCGTAAGTTGCCTTGTTTGGGAGTTCTTGTTGGCGTATCGAGATGTGGACGCTGCCTCCTAGAAGAGTTGGCCAGTACCAGCTTCCATGTGTCAACGATCGTTTGTTTGTGGCTCTAAAAGCGGGCCCGTTGCTGTGACAGAGGTGCCCAGGGTTTACTTGCTCCTGTTTGTCTGACTCCGTAAAGATGGCTTAGCGTTTTCAGAGTCTTTGTTTTCCCGAACAAGCGCTCAAAGGTGAGCCCGTTTGAGCTGCGGTTTGGTGGGTCCTTGCAAAAGGGGTCACCATTGTGTCACCCCTTCATTGGTGTTCAGACACCAAAGCGGCTTAAGTCGTTCTGCTCCCAAACCACGTCAGAAGTTCAAGATTATGTTACCTGGAAAGGTTGGTTCGGGCTTTGTTTTCCACCTCATTCGAGCTCATTCCGTTTCGTTTGATTCCGACGGATCAACCGATTATGGTTGGTGATTTGTTGCTGCATATGTAAACTGGCCCAACCAATGCGTCCAACACATGGCGCAACAGGCCATGATTTGGGTGCAGCTCCGCATCCGTGGTTTGAAGCCGGCGTGGAATCAACAAGCTGCCCAGGTACAGAGACCCGTCCGACAGAACAGAAGGGACAAGTTGATCTCGTCAACCGGAAAAGGCAAACCTGCCAGCCTCTTGCTCTGCCACCAAGTTCCGAGAGCTCGGCAATCCTCCGAAAAATGGTTTGCCGCCGGTGTTTCACCATATTGGTGCCTGAGTGGTCTGTTCACACAGGTGGGCGTTCTTCAATGTGTTGCGTGGTGTGCAAGCAGCACGCCACAACAAATGTGAACAACACCGCCAGCCTGCCTACACGCCTAGCCTTTGTGTTTGTGCTTCTGCTTGTGTTTGTGCGTGTGTACTCGTATTATTTCTTGTGTGGCATGTAAGCAGGGTGCGTGTTCTTGCTTTTTTTGTGCATGGCATGTGAGCAGGGAGTGGCTTTTGCTTTCTTGAGTTAGTAGGACTTGGATGCATGTCGCTGTGTGCTGAGTAAGGCAATGGGCCACCTGGAGTTAGTGTGTGCATGATCCCAAATTTGGGGCACAGTGATTCACTGCCCAGGAATTGGGGCAGTGATGCGGAAATTCCCTTGCGGAATCGCGGGCCCAGGAAATGGTTTTACCCTTTTAGGCACGGTCAAGGAATCAACGGAGACACCTCCAAGATACTTCCTTATGATTCTGGAGCGAGGTGGGAATTATGGGCAGGTCGCCACACGCTAAAATGTGTTTGTTTCTTTAAAACAACAAAAGAAACAATGCAGACGATCAAGCGCAGGAACGAGGCGACCTCACCGAGGCGCTGCCGTTGTTTGGAGCTACTGGAAATATGTGTATTTTAGTCAGGGGACTTCAGCAAATGGAGGAGAAGGGTCAAATTCAGCTTGTAAAAAGCTGTCGTTGCATGGCCAGTTCCCGTGTTTTAGGCCCATACTTGTTTTGGGGGTTGGTTCAATTATCACGTGTGGGCTGCCCTTGAGTTTTCTTTGGACGATTTGAAGGGGGAATACCAGTTGGAATCCTGTAATGATTATCAAACAAGCATGGCTGTTGTTCTGGGTTCACACCCATCATGCGCCATGAGCGAATTCATTATATTTACATGCATCACCTCATCATACCTCCCAAACAATAAGCTATCCACTTTTTCCGCTCCAGACAGTTCAGCCCAACTAATCATGTTTTGGTGGCCGTTTCTGAATCAGGGTGCGTGTTTGGCCGGGGAAGGTTTAACTGGAACAGAGACAGGCGTGAGCAAGCAGCAGGTACAGTTGGGTCCATTGTATGTTTGTCATCTCCAACAAGCTAGCAGGAGCAGCAGCAGAAGATCGCACGGAAAGCGGAGCTGCAAGAGGAGGCGGGGATATGTTTCTTTTGAGGTGTGGGAAGTCGTTTCCTTAGTGGGGCGCGTGCCTAGAAGTCGAAGGTTTCAAGGCGATCTTAGCGACAGTCACATTTGGGAATCAGCCCCTTCAACGGCTTACAGTTTTCCCAATAATATGAGTTGCAGGAGTTTCGCGTCCTTTCTTTGTCTTCTGTGAGTTGTATGTGTTTCCCTTGTTTTTTTGCAATATGTGTGTGTGTGCTTTAATGGGTTGGTTTGCTTTGTGGTCAGAATGCGGCCCGCAAGTCTGACAAGCCCAAATGAAACAGAGAGTATGCCGGCTGGGTCAAGAACTGTTTGTTTGCCACAGGTGGATGAGCTGGAGCATCAGCTTGCACAATTGAATCTGTAAAAACACATTTAAACGAACATAATAGTTGTATACTAACCTGATAATATACCGACTTTTATGTAGAGGCATATACAAGAGATTGAAATATAGTAGTATATGAAATTATATGATGGTTTGATTGATGTCTTTTTTAGATATGTATATATATATATTATATTTATATTCAAATTAAATTATATGTATATATATATATATAATTTTGGAATTAATATAAATATATTTTAGAATGAATATTATATATTTATATATACTATATATTTATAGATATATAAAATAAGATAAAACACTAGAAATATTAGATTATTATTATTATATCATGATTAAGCATAATGAAATTGATTAATTATATTGGATTTAATATTTCTGTGTATATATATATTTAATACATTAAATTGATAATATGAAAATTGATATATATTTTTTATTTTGAAAATATTGATTGATTCAGTAATAATATGTTTGTTAATTATCCGATATTTCGATATGTTTTTAGGATCGCATTTCTCGTGTGCTACAAAGCAGTTGTAGTGGTATTCTGGCTGAATTGTCGTGCTTGTGGCGAGTGGTTTTAGCGTGGCCCGAAAATAGCCGAAATTTTGTAGGATTTTTTTGGGATTCTTTAAATTTTGGCTTTTGGTTCTCGCGGCATAATTTGGCTGGCGATTTGGCTCTTAGATCTCTAGCACTATAACCCCCGCAAATTTCCTTAGAATTTGGCGGCTTTCCGCAAAATGAAACGGGTTAAATTTGCGGAAATTTGTGAAATTGTCTCCATAAAATTTCGTGTTTTCCCTCTTTTGTTCTCTTAGGATCGACTAACCCATGTCCAATTGCTGTTCACATGGAACCCTTCTCCACTTCAACCTTCAAAATTCTCATTTGAATATTTGCTACTACCACCAAGATCTGCACCAGAAGCTGTTTCGCTTAGGCTCACGCCAAAAGTTCTGTCTCTCTGTCTCTCTGTCTCTTTGTCTCTCTGTCTCTCTATCTCTCTATCTTTCTGTCTCTCTGTCTTTCTGTCTTTGTGTTTCTGTCTCTTTGTTTCTTTCTCTGTCTGTTTGTTTCTGTGTCTGTCTTTGTCTCTGTTTCTCTGTCTGTCTCTCTGTTTTTTTTGTGTCTGTCTCTGTGTTTGTCTCTGTGTTTGTTTTTGTCTTTGTGTTTGTCTTTGTGTCTGTCTTTGTGTTTGTCTCTGTGTTTGTTTGTGTTTGAGTTTGTCTTTGTGTTTGAATTTCTCTTTATGGTTGTCTTGTATTTGTTTTTGTATTTGTTTCTTTGATTGTCTTAGTTTTTGTGTTTGTGCTTGTGTTTGTTGTTGTCGGTGTTTTTGTTATTGTTTTCGTTTTTGTCTTTGTTTTTGTTTGTGTTGTTGTGTTTGGTTGGTTGTTTATTTTTTTTATTGTTTTTTGTTTTCTTAAAAAAAAAAAAATATTGTTGTATGTGTTTATATTGTGTATATTTGTATGGTTTGTTTGTTTTCTTATTTTGATTTGTTTGTGTGTTGTTGGTTTTGTTTATGTCTTTTTTGATGTGTTTGTTGTTGTTTTTGTTATTTATCTATTTTTTTTGATTTTGTATTTTTTATTTTTTATTTATTTTTTATATATATATTTAATGATTTTTTGCGTTTTTTGTTTGTTAATTATATTTGTTATTTTATGATTTTTTGATATTAATGTTTATTATATATAATTTGCATATATATATATTATTGGTAATGAACTATTAAAATATATTATCTAGTTCGTTAATGCTAATATATAATGTTTAATATATTGGATATATTGAGGATATTGAACATATAGGAATATTAATATATATTATAAGAATAAACCTAAATATCATAATTATAATGCAAAATTGATTAATTATAAAATATATGAAAGATATCGGGAATATTAGGAATATAGCCGGCTAGCCATAAAATAATACAAAAAACTAGGGTGCAAAAAATCTAAATATTATTTAAAATTCATTATCAAATATAAATACTTTAGAAAATTAGATTTCCAAAAATATAATAATATAAGGGATATTTCTTAGTAATTATTTTTTTTTAGATATATAATTCTAAAAAATATTTAGCCGCAACATATTATTAATTCCTTAACATATCAATCATTTCAATATTTTATTTTTATTTTTGGAAATATCACTATATTTGGCCCTACCCAAACCCCCCAACAAGCCAATTCCAACATCATTTGAAACCACAAAACATTACTAATATTAACGAAGAAAACACATTCATAATCACAAAATAATTCTTATAATATTGGGGATATAGATCCTGTGCATATGGGGAAATCCCCATCCCCCAAAAACCTAGGTGAAACGAATGTTTTCAGTACGCAAGACCAAAAACATTGAAAATTACAGGGTTTTGGACACCTAGCACAGCATGCCCAAAAATAGCAGTTCCGAAAGCCTTTGGCTTTAATAAAAGATTCCGAAGAGAGACCAAGTTGCAGATTGCAATTTTCGCGCTCGACTGGTGTCGGCAGATGTATTTTGCTTATTTTTGGGTTGATTCTTTTGCTCCTATAAACCGATGCGGCCTCGGGATTGCATTTTTCGTGCGTCATAGAGCCGTTATAGCGGTATTGCGGGTGAATCGTCGTGCTTGTGGCAAGCGGCTATGCCCGTCTTGGTTTTTTTCTCCGCGGCACAAGCTCTTGCTTCTTGGCGCAGCCCGGAAATGCCCGAAATATTATCGAAATTTAAATCTTTAGATCTTCGCTTAGAGTTTTCGTGGCATATCTTAGCATTTGTTTTTGGTAATTTGTTGGGTTATTTCCGACGACTTTCCCTTTTCTTCTCTTTTTGTTTTCCTTTCTCTTTTTGTTTTTATATTTTATTATGTTTTGTCTCTTTTGTTTTCTTTTTTTCTCTCTTTTTTTTCTGTATTTCTTTTTGTATTTTCCATTTTTTATTTGTTTGTTTATTGTTTATTTATATGTTTCTTTGTTTCTCTTTCTCTCCTTTTCTTCTTTTTTTGTTTTGTTTTTCTGTTTTATTTTCATTTTGTTTATCTTTCTCTTTTTCGTTTTGTTTTTGTTGTCTTTTTTGTCTCTGTTATTTCCGTTGTCTCTATGATTATTTTTTTGTTCTTTGTCTTTCGTTTTCTCTTTCTTTTTCTCTTTCTTCTTGTTGTTCTCTTTTTCTTTGATGTTTTTGTTTCTTTTGTTTTTGTTTTTTTTGTGTCTGTCTTTTTTGTCTTTATTCGTGTTGTTGTTTTCTTTGTCGTTATCTTCTTTGTTTTATGTTTTTGTTTTGGTTGTTTGGGTTGTTTTGTCTTTGTTATTGATGTCTTTGTTTTGATTTTGTTGTCTTTGAATTTGTTTCTGTTGTGTTTGTTTTCATTTATTGTTTTTTTGTGTTTGTTGTTTTTGTGTTTGTTGTATTTGTTAATGTTGTGTTTGGGTGTTTTATATTTTTTGGATTTATTATTTTGAATTTGTTTTTATTAAATTTATAATTATTTTGTTTATGATATTTTTTATTTTTGTTTGTTGTTGTTAATTTTATCTCTTTGTTTCATATTTGTCGTTTATGTTTTTAGTCATTATTTGTTTAAATATATTTTTGAATTTGTTTTTTTTGTTATTCTTGTTTCCTTTTTATGATTTTATTTGTGTTGGTTATGTTAATGATTTATATATTTGTATTTTGTTTATTTTTGGGTTAATATTTGTATTTTTATTTGTTATTTAAAGATTTTTATGATTTTGAAATTAAAATTCTTAAATATTATAATATTTATATTAGATGAATTTTAATAACAATTTTTAATATTTTTTTGAATTAATTAGATATATAGGATATTAGCATGATATTTAGCTTTAAACGATCATTATGTTAGCCCGGCTTAAAGTAGATCTATTTAGGATTTTATTGGATATAATCACATTAATTGCATTAGGGCTTCGAGGAAAAGAGAAATATAGATTTATATTTAGATTGAAATACTAGATTTTCTCTAGTTTATAAGATTTTGTTTGTAAATAATTAAAATAATTATATTTAAATATATGTCTCGATATTTTGTATATGTAAAAAAAATACAAATTATAAATTAAACAAAATCCGGGGTTTAAACTAAATCCAATGTATTTTGTTTTGTTGTAATGATATTCTAAATTAATTGATTTTTAATATATCATTTAATAATATATAAACCAATAATTAGAATTTGTTTATTATGTTAAAATTAAAATAATATAAGAATAATATTAATTATATTATACTATATATATATAGAAATTAAACAAATAATACATTTAATTCGATATCAAATTAATATTAAAAATAAATATATTTCGATATAATATATATATTATTTTCGAGATAATAGATATTTAATAATTATTAAATTTTCAATTATTTAAATATATATTAATATTTAATATATAAACATATTTTTCTTAATATCAATTATATTATCAAGGCAAGGTCAATTTTTGCATTCCCAATTATCCTCAATATTCTTCGTTTTACGACGGGCTCTTAATATTACGTGTCCCAACCTTTAAATTATCGCTAAAAGTCCCATTAAATATCCTCCATATCCTCGTCAATTTCACCAACATCCCCAACATTCCTACATCGCCAACATCCAGACTTTACAATATCCCTTTTGTCCCTTTTACATTCCTAACATCCCCTATATTATACTAACCCTAAAAGAGACTCCTAACATGGCATTTCCATAAGACTAGGACCACCGCCTACGATTTTTTGTATTATTATTCAATAAATTTTCATGAGGCTAAGAAAGAATAACGGGGATATAATCTCCATCTAATCGGTTTTGGAAATATATCTCAATGCGATGTGATACTAATATACTATTAATCTTGGGAGTTCGTCGCCAAAATCATATGATGACATCATTCTTGAAGCCAAATTACATCAACTAACCCCGAAAGTGTATCCATTGTTTTCACTTTTGAATTGTGTATTGATTGTAAGAAGAGTTGGAGGGAAAAACAACGAGTGTACTCTATTATGTTTGCATGGACAACTGTGTGATGTTTTGTGTTTTGGAGGCGTGCAGGTCACATGAATTCGCTGGTGAGACGCACAAAGCGATGTCACAGGCTGGATGCTAGATTGACACTTCAGGGTCAACAAATCGACATGGATTGGTGACTCCCCAAGTTGTGTTGAAATACACCATGTCAATCTCATTTGCTGCAAAGACATGTTCTTGAGATTGACATCATCTCTGAAAGGCCGAGGCTCATTCGCCACCAACCTGAGAATGTGCATAATTTACATGGGGCACCGTCTTTTGACTTGCTTGCTAGTGAAAGCTATGGGGGTTGCCCAAATAGGCTCAGGAGTGGCTTTGTTCCAGAACGGTTCTGGGAGTTGCTGGGTTGTATTAGAGCAGAACCACAGGAAACCTCCATTGAAGGGTTCCTTGTCCCTTTGTGAGGTGAACAGTTACGTCAACCCCCAGAAAACACCACAAACCAAAGAAAGAAAGAAAGAAAGAAAGAAAGAAAGAAAGAAAGAAAGAAAGAAAGCAGACATCAAGCAAGCAAGCAAGCAAGCAAGCAAGCAAGCAAGCAAGCAAGCAAGCAAGCAAGCAAGCAAGCAAGCAAGCAAGCAAGCAAGCAAGCAAGCAAGCAAGCAAGCAAGCAAGCAAGCAAGCAAGCAAGCAAGCAAGCAAGCAAGCAAGCAAGCAAGCAAGCAAGCAAGCAAGCAAGCAAGCAAGCAAGCAAGCAAGCAAGCAAGCAAGCAAGCAAGCAAGCAAGCAAGCAGAAAAGACTTCCAGAGAATGGCGACGTGGCAGAATCTTATGCAGCAGCATAAGTTTGTGTCTTCGGGGGTTCCTTCCAAGAGGGTATATATGTGGTATACGGTATGCTCGTCGTTTTTGGCTTGAAGAACCCTCCCAAATGAGTTTGTGTAAGAACAAGGATCCAATGAGTCAAAACCCTCCCATTCATACACCCGCAAAATCTTGAACATCGACAGTCTCCATTGATCAGATCGATCAGTGGCCTCAACAAGCCAATGCCGCAAAATCTCCGGCCGTCGTCGCCTTTCCGCAAACGAATTGGATGTTGCAAATCGCCCGCGCCTCCTTCTTGAGCTGATCCAAGCGCTTTTGGATCTTCGTCTGGCGAGTGTCCTGACGAGAAAGCAGAAACTGGAAGAGTAAGACACACGAGCAGGCAGTGGGAAATGGAGGGATTTCCTAGCAAGCAGGCCGCTAAACTTCCGGGCAGCCCACCAAATTTGGAGGAGCAAAGAGTTGACAATCACGCGCTGTCGTGCTACTCGGAAGACCAAGGGATTTGGAGTCTGAACTCTACATCCATTTTGGAACACTGTGATGTGGGACGCCAAGGGTTGAAGATTGCATCGGCAAATACCTGAATCAAGAAATGGAGACTGGTGTTGAGATGGCGATAGTGTTCCTACTCTCTTGGTGTGAAGGCAACAACTAAAGTTTGCCCCATCGATCTCCTTGCCGCTGAGCCCCTTCCGCAGCTGCTTTCGGACATTGACCTGGCTGAGTCTCGGTGCGCCCTCTTGCTTGATCCGACTTGGGGGCCATCCACGGCTTGGTGGCTTCCCAAACAGCCGGATTGGCTGGGGTTTTCCATGGCAGTTCTGGTCTCCAAGGTCAGTCCGCTGAAAGGGCCGCGTTTCAGGCTTACGCGTGGCCGAAACCAGCTTGAGTGTTTCAGCTTCCATTGGACAAGGACCATCGTTCCTGCACGGTACGCCAACCATTCATTTGAAGCTTCTGCGGGCGATATGTCGCACTTTGGCAAGGAATCCGTTCGGCATTAGTTGCCACACCTCCCCCCTCTTTCCCTGCCCAACCGCAGCGCCTGCCAATTTTTGGGCACACAATGAGGTGTGATCGCCTGATGCTGCATGCCACCCAGACGCACTCACTCGCGCGTGTAAACAACACGCGCACATGCGCACGTGCGCCCGCAGGCACACATGCGCACGCGGACAAAGACACACACACACACAAACACACACACACAGACGCAAACACAGACAGACAGACAGACAGACAGACAGACAGACAGACAGACAGGACAGGACAGGACAGGACAGGACAGGACAGGACAGGACAGGACAGGACAGGACAGGACAGGACAGGACAGAACAGGACAGACAGACAGACAGACACACAGACACTGATACCGACACAGACACAGACACAGACACAGACACACACACACACACACACACACAGACACACACGCACAGACACACCCACACACACAGAGACACACGCACAGACACACACACACACAGACACGCGCACACACACACACAGACACGCACAGACACACACACACAGACACACAAACACAGACACACAAACACACACACACACAAACACAACACACAGACACACAGACACACAGACACACAGACACACAGACACACAGACACACAGACACACAGACACACAGACACACAGACACACAGACACACAGACACACAGACACACAGACACACAGACACACAGACACACAGAGACACGGAGACACAGAGACACAGAGACACAGAGACACAGAGACACAGAGACACAGAGACACAGAGACACAGAGACACAGAGACACAGAGACACAGAGACACAGAGACACAGAGACACAGAGACACAGAGACACAGAGACACAGAGACACAGAGACACAGAGACACAGAGACACAGAGACACAGAGACACAGAGACACAGAGACACAGAGACACAGAGACACAGAGACACAGAGACACAGAGACACAGAGACACAGACACACACAAACAAACAAACAAACAAACACAAACACACACACACACAGACACAAAGACACACAACTCACAAACACACACACACACAAACACACAAACACAAAGCACACAAACACAGACACACAAACACACAAACAAACACACAGAAACACAACCAAAGACGCACACAAACACACAGACCCACACAAACACACAAACACAAACACACAAACACAAAGACACAAAGACACAAAAACACACAAACACACAAACACACAAACCCAAAGCACACAAACACACACACACACACACACAACACACACACACACACACACACACAACACACACACACACACACACACACACACACACACACACACACACACACCACACACACACACACACACACACACACACACACACACACACACACACACACACACACACACACACACACACACACACACACACACACACACACACACACACACACACACACACACACACACACACAAACACACACACACACACACACACACACACACACACACACACACACACACACACACACACACACACACACACACACACACACACACACACACACACACACACACACACACACACACACACACGCGCACACACAAACGCGCACACACAAACGCGCACACGCTCACACAGACAGATACACAGAGACATACCGACACACAGACAGAGACACACACACACACAGACACACACGCACACAGAGACACACACACACACACTCACAGAGACACACACACACACGCACAAACACACACTCACAGAGACACACACGCACACAGACACACACACACACACTCACAGAGACACACACACACACAAACACACAAACACACAGAGACACACAATCACAGAGACACACACACACACAGAGACACACACACACACACAGAGACACACACACAAACACACACACACACAAACACACACACAGAGACACGCACGCAGAGACAGCACACGCACCAAGAAAAAAACACACACACACACACACACACACACACAAAGAAACACATCAAAACAAAAACGCACAAACACAAACAGAAACACATTCCAAACTCAAGTCGTGTGCTGCCCCCCGCCAGTCGGCGTAGACCTCCTCTCTTGCAGGGTAAGGCAAACTCGTCAAAGCAGTCTTGTGGGAGGCAACAGCTTGTTGTGGTTGTGCTTTTGTACGTATCAGTATGCAAAAAAACGACGAGCATGTTTCTACCGTGACACACGTCAACATGTTAATCAATTGGCATCAATGGCATAGTACGGAGTACAAGTTGTACTGTATGAAGCAGGATTTTACGCGTACACGCTGCACACCATTAATCTTGGACAAAAACGTGTTGAGAGTGCAATATGCGCTGGCGCTTTCTGCTGCTCCAGTTGCTCTAGAACTTGATTTGGGTCTGTGTCAAAATCACAAATCGGGCCTCCGAGATGGATGGTTTTCCTTCGGTTTCCCTGTCAACCAGCCCCAACAAGGATATCAAAAAACCACAAACGAGCCAGGCCTCCTCAGCCTTCTGCCGATCGGCAGTGTTCATGGTGGCCGACCTCGGGGTTCCGGCTTCAAGGAGTACAACAACGGAACGCGGAGCCACGATTGGTTGAAAAGGCCTTCCAAAGCAAACCCTTCCCTGTTGGTCTCAATGCAACACCCACGGCAAACTAGCCGAATAGCGGGGGCCAGGCCGAACAATGGGGAACAACAGAAATGTCCCAGTGCATACTGCAAGCTATGTCTGCCTTGCACGTGGAATCAGAAGGGAAATGCGACCCAATTTGCCATCCGTTGGCTCTAAAACTTAGTTGTGCATCGAGACAAGTTGGATCCTTAAACGTCTGCGAGAAAGTCATGCTGTATTCCAACACTTGAAGTGACAATCCGGTTTTTTAGTGCCCTCGAGTGACATGGACATTCTGTGGGGTAACCCCCCCGCCCATTTTTTCACCCTCCCCTTTGCTAGCGCATATCTTGGCTCACATCCTTTCTTAGCGCTGGGAACCATTCGGGACATTTGGCGGTTGTGATTGGATTTTCTTGGCCATGAACCAAAGGGTCAGTGAGGATCATGGCTGCCCAAGCGAGAAAAGGCATGCCTTATCTCGCCGGATTGCTTTTGTGTTTATTGTGTTTCCTCGTTTTTGTTCCTTCCCGGCCGGCAAACACCCCTTCCCCCCCCTCTATACTCATTGCCCGTTGCCTCATGAATGCGCCGGAGCCGAAGGATGAGGCGACCTTCGCGCCGTTTTCTGCTGCGGAGTAGTATGGGGGCTTCTTTTGACCCTTGATGAATGCCGCGTCATTTGAAACTGTAGGGGCTAAATAACGACATGTTCAAGGGGCCAAAAGGGAGGCGTCAAGCACCCCCGATTTTCAAAGGCTTCGTCGTCCTGGTGGCATTGCTTGTCTTTGGTGCTCGAGTGCTAGCTGCTTCTTATTCATTGCGAGGATTTGTGCGAATCACTGGTTGACTCTTGGAAAGGGGTAGGAATTCCGTGCCCGGTTGATCAATCTAAAACTCGTTGCGTCCCTTGGTTGAAAATATGGACCCCTGAAAGGACCCAAGGATTCATCGCGGGCGACCGCGGCAATACTCCAAGCTGGACCTGGGCTCCGCGATGACTCCAGTGGCGCTTTGGCGACCGTGGTGCATCCCCTTTGCCTTTTACAGTACTGACTGTTGTTCATGTTCTCCACAAAACACCATGGATCAGTTGTGCAAATGGCAATTTGTTGGGTGTTCAAAAGCAGTATTTGGCACTTCGCCACTTGCACGCACCCTCCCAAAAAAAAGGTGTGGGAAGCTAAGATGTGGGGAACCCCAAAAAAGGCTTCTTTTTGGCTTGCCTTTGAATCCCAAACACGATCCCTCATTCTAGGCAACACACCGCCTTTCCCTTTCAAATTCACCTCCATTCTTATTGGAAAGATTCCCGGCTTGGCCGCGCCAGCCTCAGTTTCAAGCATCTGTCAACTTCCATTGCTTGAAGAACAAACTCCTTTATTATCTTTGATAACCAAAAAAAAACATGAAACCCAACTTGTTTCCCTTCGAGCGACTGGTGTTCACCCTGGCAGCTTGTTTTCCAACACAACAACTGATTCGTGCAACCCATCTTGCTCCCAGAGTCGCCTTCTTTGCACCTCCTGCCGCCGCCTCCTGCGCAGCCTGAGCCGCTGCGAACCTGAGCGAACCGAAGTCTCGAAAGCGGCCCAAGGGCCTACATACGTCCCTTGAACCATCAGCCATAAGGAAACTCGCCTAAACTGGGCCAAACAGATATTCAAAAGCCACAGGGAGATACAGCGGCTGTGATTGGTCGGGGAAACCTTTGGCAGCCCACTGTCGAACACACAGCCGCAAAAGACACAAGGCTAAAGTCGGGATCATCGGGATCCCATTTGCTTTTTGGGCCTTCCATAATTCCCTCTGCAGGGCTCCCTATATTCCCCTTTAGAAATCACACCACCAAAAGGAAGCTCCTTTTTAAATTGGCCCAAAAGGTGATGTCGAAAGCCACCAAAGGCAAGTACAGGGAGCCCTACTCTGGGAAACCACTACACAAGCAGGAAAAAATCAAGGACTTCTGGTGGCTCCCAAATTGTTTTTCTTTGTTCACTTGTATCATAAATCACATATGATCAGCATATTTGCCGTTTCAACACCTCCAAAGGGTGGTTGGAAGGAATGACATAGACCTACCCTGAAAAACAATGGGCTCGGACCCACACTTTTGAAGAGGCAAGTCTTCGGCTAAGTTGTGCCTGTGGCCATTTTCTTGTTTTGGAGAAGTTACCATAGAAAAACGGGCGTTTTCTAAAGTTCCCTCATCCCATGGCAATTCAACCTGTCGAAGCACGCGCAAAACCACTGACCACTGCTGTATTGTTCCTGCATTCTCATCTGTATGAATGTGTCTTTTTGAGCTGACCCGGTAGTTTGTTTGAAGCCAAACCAAAGGGACCCATTCATTTTGATGGTGTGTCCTCCGATACCTTCGGACCCAGCTTCTATGCTGGGCCCATGTACCCTTTCCTTGTTGGACTTCGGAATGGCATGTCAATTGCAGGTCATAGGTTTCCTTACTCAAGCTGAGAGGGTGCCCGCAAAAAAGCAAACAGGCACACGCGCGCTCGCACACACAAACACACACACACACACACAAACCAATCGCTGTGAAGGGAAATATGGGGTCAGCAACATGGGCAGCACCGAGGCGCTTCCGCAGATTCTCTGCGGTGAGCTTCGCGATCTGCGTGGCCATGCCGGGCTTGCTGCGGCTGCGGCTGGCCAGACGCGTCCTCGGAGGTCAGTGGATGACTCTGGTTCACCTGTGCGACCCCGTTGGAAAATCAAGAATTGGACCTCTTCAACCCTCAATCCCGTTTGTTCCAGGTGAAAAGGCAAACCCTCGCAGTCGCTTTCTGGGCGATCTTGGAAAGTTGGGGGGCAGAGGTTGTTGCTGAGGCTTTGGTTTGGCTCTCGCAGGTTCAGTGGGGAGTGGGGAGTGGAGAGTAGAAGATCGACAGGAAATAGCCAACGCCCGGCTCAGCTCACCCGCAACTGGCTCCTGAAAGAGCATCCTGCAATTTGAGCAAGCAAAGCAGCGAAACAGGCACAAGGCGGCCCTGGGTAGGCTTCCATGATGAAAAGTGGCCCTCTGCATGTAGCTCCGTAGCCCGTTACTCCCTTAGAATTGATCGCGTAGGATCTGCAGAGAGCTTGCTTGCCCTTTGCTTTGCCCGGCGATTTCTTATTTCTGGTTGGAAAGCCTATTTCCCTTTGAACTGGGCCACTTCTTGGGCCCATTTCAGCAAGAACATCAATTTCGAGTTTTGTTCGATGCCCAAACGGGAGGGCGGCCAATCCAAACTTCCATAGGTCAACCACCAGAGGCGGCAAAATGCCCCCCAAATGCCAACTCTTTTAGAGTATGACATCCAACTTGAAACCCAATTGGAGGTCGTGCCATGTTGAGGGACAACGGCATAGAAAATCAACAGTGAGACTGGCGCTGGAAGGGCCACATCCCCTTTGCTCTGAACGCATGGCGCCAAGGCGCTTGTCGGCCGCCTGCGCACCTGGCACTTCCAGCAACCGTGGGTAGCCGGCTGTCACAAACTTGGAGAACGGTAAAGTGTCAACTTAAAAAGGGGTCCAAAAGGGGCCGATAGTTTAGGACAGTCAGCAAAGTCAGGGCCTACCAAAAACAGAAGACACGTATGTTTCTCCACCCAGTGCTTCGAAATGTTCAATCAACTTTGGGAGGGGAACGCACAACACCTGCACAGCTGACCGCTGTTTTCGGCATGTGCCGTGGCACAAACTCCTTCGTGTGGGCCACTGCTGGCGTCCTGAGCAGGAATCCTCATAATCTGGGTGTCTACATCCCTAGATCCATGAGCATTCCTATCATGTTGTGGAACATACCCTTTCCGAGATACCAACGTGGGACATCCCAGTATGACTACTCAGACTACTTCAACATGGGCCAATGTCTTTTCTATAACAAATGTATTTTTTCTGTCAACGCCTTAAATAACAGGTCTTTCGACCATATCTCAACAGGCGCCTTCCCCAGACAGATTAATCCGGGGTTAACATCACACACGCACACAAAACACAAACAAACAAACAAACAAACAAAAACATACAAACAAACAACCAACCAACCAACCAACCAAACAAACAAACAAACAAACAAACAAACAAACAACGCTCAGACGTCCTGTAAACGCGCGTTTTTTTCGTTCTTTCCCCCCTGTAATGGCCGCAAAAACGCGCAAATTTATAGTTTTTCACAGGTTTCGAGCAAGTCCAGCAAAGGGTGGGCCGGATGTCCGAGTGGAACTGCAAGAGCACGGCCTATCCTGTTCTTACCATTTGGCTGGCATGGATGCAGTGCTGCGCGGGTGCACTTGAACGGGTGTTCTTACCATTTGGCTGGCATGGATGCAGTGCTGCGCGGGTGCACTTGAGCGGGCGTGCCTATCGTGAGTGTGAATTTCCATATAATTCCCGCGTTTTACGTGGTAGTGGCCGGACATGCACGAAACCTGTGAAAAACCATATGATTTGCGCGTTTTTGCGGCCATTACAGGGGGGAAAGAACCAAAAAAAGCGCGCGTTTACAGGACGACCGAGCCACAAACAAACAAACAAACAAACAAACAAACAAACAAACAAACAAACAACCAAACAAACAAACAAACAAACAAACAAACAAACAAACAAACAAACAAACAAACAAACAAACAAACAAACAAACAAACAAACAAACAAACAAACAAACAAACAAACAAACAAAACAAACAAAACAAAACAAACAAACAAACAAACAAACACACAAACACACAAACACACAAACACACAAACACACAAACACACAAACACACACAACACACACAACACACACAACACACACACACACACACAACACACACACACACACACACACACACACACACACACACACACACACACACACACACACACACACACACACACACACACACACACACACACACACACACACACACACACACACACACACACACACACACACACACACACACACACACACACACACCACACACACCACACACACACACACACACACACACACGCACGCACGCACGCACGCACGCACGCACGCACGCACGCACGCACGCATCACGCCCGCACGCACACATGCATGCGCGCGCACGCATACACGTGTGCGTGTGCGCACACGCACACTCACAGGCACACGCACGCGCACACACACACAACAAATGCAATCAATAAACAAAGTATGTTTTGTCACCATGGGACGTCTCCCCGTGACAAGTCTGGGTGTTCAGCTAGTATTTCAAAAGGCCGGCGCGGCGTGCCGAGGGGTCTGGCGGTGGCCTGGGAGGCGACAGGAGGAAACGACAGCCCAGGATGCGTTTGGTGTCTTCCTCGATTGCCTTGAAGGGCGCCAACCAGGGAGTTGCCCAACCTGCACTTCGGCCCAATGTCCCCTTTGAAGACCGCAAACATGCCTGAACAGTGCACAGTCAAATAAAGTAACTTGATGGGTGACCCTTTTTTCGAGGGTATCCTTTTTGGGTGGTTTTAAAGGGAACAAGAAGGAACACCACCATTTGGTTGTGCCTCTTTCTTTTGGGGGAGGGGGGGGGGGGCGGTCCAACCTTAGAAAAGTACAAGCTACCGCTTCAGAGGGTTTCCGGTTCCTCCCCTTCGCTCCCTGCCCAACGCTCTGACCCTAGGGACCCGAGCTTCCGCTGGCCCAGCAGTTGGGCCTTCTCCATGGTGGAGGGCTCCCCCTGCGGCTGCAGCTTCAAGAGGTCTTCCTGAAGCAAGAGGACCCCAAGGGTCCAGTGTGGGGTCCAGCGGGAAGCAGAACACCTTCCTGTGCTCAGCCCGAGTTGCTGGGATGGGCAAAGACACCACACGCTGTGGGTTCAGGTGGCTCATACAATGGGCCTTTGAAACCTGAGTGGATTGACAATCAGCTGTCCAAAAAGTACGAAGTGTCTGGTACCACAAGGAGCCTCACAAAACTGCTTGATTCCCGCCCAGTACATATGAGAGGTTCCGCCACAGGTAGGGTTAAACGGCTTAGGTCCGCCAACCGTGTTCCAAAGTGTTCTCCACTAGAATTCATGGCCAAGTTCCTGAGAATTATGACATGGACAGCCAAGAGAATATCCTTGCGGACCTCCCCCAAAGTTCTGGAGACCCAATCAGACCCAAGGAATCGGATTTGGGCACTTCAAATCCCAACCAAAATGGTTGGCTCCTTTGGGTTCCTTCAGCCAACCAAATGAGGGTCGAAGCACCAGTCTGAGAAACTCCAGTTCATGTATTTTGCCAAGTCAGAGCTCTCCATGGGCCTAGGACTTCCAAGACCGGGCTGAATTTGTGCGCTTCCGCTGCCGACTTGGAAGCAAAAGACCAAGAAGACTAACCTGGTGCGGTCGTGACAAAAAACAGACCAAACCTGGGAATCAAAAGGTCAGATGGCGAGCTTGGAAAAAAATGAGCTAGTAAAGACTCGAAGAACCCAGCAAATGAATCATCATGCTTATTGATCTTGCTCTGGTGAATCATCATGCTTGTTTCGGACATACACCAGCCAACCGCCAAACCAAATCCTCCAAACAAGTCGCTGGCTCCAACCCTTTTCAGGTTGAGTGGACATATGGTTCTCTATTACACTTCACTGTTTACGGGCAGACACCAAGGGAAACCGGCGCTCGTGGGAAAACCACGTCTAGCGCTGTCTCTGACGCGGCATTGCTTTCCCGCCTTAGACAAGGCTTCGAAGAGCTTGGCCACATCACCCTGATGCAAATGGGGCTTGTCTCAAAATTGGGAACTTTGGTTTGGCTCCCTTTTGTCCAACCCAAAATGCAGTTTGACGTGCCAAATGCTTTGTGCTATGCGTGCCAGCCAGTGTGAAGAAAGCAGGCGTAGTTCAGACAGGTCGCTTTAGGTCGCTTTGGCCTATGGAAATCGGCCGAGGAAAACGGTGATGGTTCAGTTGACAGTGCGGCCAGCTTTAGTCAAACCATCTAATATATAGAGGATTCCATGGACTGCCCTTCAATTGCAGCAACCTTTGAAGCTTGTCTCCAGAGCAATCAGAGCTGACTCCCCCTTCGAATGTGCAATGAACTGTCATCTGAGTCAATCTAAAGTGGACATCAATCCATGTTGAAGTTGCCAGCGCCAACCAACAGTTGCTTCTTCCCATGTTTCAACCCCCAAACCCCCAAAGTAAGGTCCAACGGCATCCTTGAATAGGAGTAAGGATGAGCAACATTTAGTGGCGGTCCTGGCACTGTTTTGTGGTGTTCCTTGCCAAAAGGTGTCACATCTGCGCCTTGAGGGTCGGGAAGAGCTTCTTGAGCAGTGAAACTGGCCGGAAAGCAGTGAGGCACCCCCCGCCCGTTTTCATTTGCCTCAACTGGGAACAACCCTCGACTGCGGGCTCAAACCTCACAGAAATCCAGTTGAAACTTGTTCACCAGGACTTCTAAAATGCCCTTCAGCGGTCTTGGGCTGTTCTCGTGAGCTGCAAGCAAGGAGGATGAAGTGCGTGGTTGACTGTGGGGACACTTAGGGTTGTGTTTTGTTGTTGTTTTTTTTCATGCATGGCCATCCGGAGTATTGGCATTGCAGGCTCTGCAAAGTCCATCAAGGAAACGAAGCGTTCTGGGCTTCAAGCCTTACAAGTGGCGTACAAGAGGCCGACAAGTCTCTGGCATGTGGCATTCCCCGATATTCCCGAAACATGGAAGTATCTTTGAACCTCCAAAAAGAAACCTACTTCAGGGATCTCCTGGGATCAGATCGGACCCCGCTAGCTCTCCTCGGTGGCATCGGAAGGCGATGCGAGGCTCCCTCCAAGACCCCCTTTTTGGAAAATTATCACATGTCTCTTTCCGCAATTTTCCATGGCATATCTTCGCCGTTTCGCGCCTTGGTCGAAAAAGACCAGCCAGGATCGATCCTCGCACTTGCGAGAATGCGTGTGCCACGGAAACCAAAGTGAGACATGAACCCCTTTTTGGATGGGAATTCAAAGGGAACCAAAAGGAACCCACCATGAATACGGGCTCCAGACTTGGGTGTTCGTAATTGAGTCGAGACCCCCTTCCTGTGGAGTGTTTTTGAATGTGTTTGAATGGAACACAGTCCATGATATTGGGTCAACAAATCCAACAAAAGACGCAGGGCGTGCCACAATTCGACTCATAGGCATCCGTGTGTCGAAACTGGGCACCAAGGCCCCTATTTAATATGCTGTTGGTCTCCCTGCAAAACCATACGATATGCTGCTTTGCACATATCGGGTCAACTTGGCTTCGGTCTTCCAAAGAGGCTTCCACACTGGGAGGCGGCCATGCGGTGAGAAAAACAGCTCCGGCTCCTGAGCTTCAGGTGGCGGTTCCTTTGCGTCACCTCAGGCGTTGACGTGTTGGAATGACTTCTCTGCAGCAACACGAAACAACGGTCCCTTTACAAGGCAAGCAACGTCTCATGTTGACTGAAGCCAGCAAAACCAGGGTCCACTGTATTTCCTGCAAGTGCTCGAGTGAATCTGGATGTTCAGAGTTGGCTCGATCCCGTGGCCTTCGCCCGACGGCGATGGCTCGGCTTTTCGGTTTAGGGCCCGCCTTCTTGTGCTTCGGCGTCCTCGGCCTTCCGTGCTTGGTGCCCTACAAGAATTAAGGGCGCTAAGACTTGGAGGGAGCTGGAAGTGTGAAAGCATCTTGAAAGCACCCCTGTGCATTTCCAAGATTAGAAAGAGAGGATTCACTAATTACTCCAGAGTGAATGATACATCCTAGGTCGACCTTCAGTGCTTCCCTGACACCTGGTGCATGCGTCTCGCGAGGGATTGATCGGACATGTCAAGTCCCGATTCCGGACATTGTTATGTGATGGCAGATCCCTTCAGGCTAGCAGGGAGGCCACCAAGTATCCTGTGGCATCCCCTCGCAGGAACGACTTCTTCACCTCAAGTCCTCTTTAAGGGCCCATGAGCTCGCAGAAATATGTGAAGGAAGGCAAGACACGCACGAAGCTGTGTCGAAGAGTAGGAGTCAAACACACAACTGCTCACAGGAAACCCACAGGAAGCATGACGGATTGCCTCAGCAAGTCAAAGGTTTGACAAACTTCGGTCTGTTGGAAGCTCAGCTATGAAAGTTACCTCAAACAAGACATGGCCAAGGCAACCTCCCAGGTTTAAGTTGAGATTGGGGCCCAATCAAAAAAACACGTGGAGTTTTCCACCCCTGAGTTTTGCCAAGGCGTTTTTCTTTCGCTTCCTTTTGGGCATCGAACACTGCCAGCGCGGCCTCCGCGTCCGCGGGCTCCGTGTTCTCTGGCTCCTCGGGCTCCGGGGGATCTGACCTGCGGCCGAGCTCTTCCATGGGTCGAGGGGTACCTTCCCCATTCTTTCCAGGGATCCGTTGTTCTTTTCAGGAAACCATCAAAAACCCAGGGGAAACAGCAGACTGTTGAAAAGGACGATGGTTGAAACAAATGGGGAATCAACCCCTAGAATGGGCAACGAAAAGCCGTCAGCCTACCAATTTTGAGCTTTTGCACAGGATTGCCCAAAGAATTCCACGGCAACATGGGGGTGTAAAGATCATGAGTTCAAATCTCCAAACCCTTTCCAAACCACAAAAGAGCGCAAGAGCACCATTTGTTTTGGGTGATCAGGAATGGCAAATGGGGTGGTTCCCGAAGAATGGGTAAGCCCTTCTAGGGCCCTTTGTATTCGAAACGTGCAACAAGAGGTGCCTGCTTTGGACACTCCTGTGTGGTACTCGGCTGCCATTCTTTAAAGGTGTCCTATTCTTTAAAGGTGTCATTGATGTCCGTTTGCATGGGTTGGAATGGGTTGGAAGAGGTCTTTGTCCATTTATCTTTTTCCCGCTTTGGCTCGGGTCAAGCTTTGAAAACACAGAATGCTTTCCTTTCACCCATACCATTTTCATTCCTCAGCTGAGTCAAACCTACTAACCTTTGCATACCCTTTGCTTCTTTGTAACAATCCTTCAAACTCGCTTTACCTCGCCAAAATCGCCCGAGGCTCTGCATGGAGTTCTTCCAAATGCCAGATCTGGTGCGGGTGTCCTTCGCATACAAACAATGCAACAAATGGGCTTTAGGATGCTAGACACGTGATTGTCCTTTGGTGCGAGCTGGAACCCGCTTTTTGAACCCTAGGTCCCTGGAACAAGGGGTCCCCAGTTTGGATGCCTCTCTTGGAATTCTGACTCTTGGCTGATTCGTAGTTGCCAAAGCGGGCGGTCAAGAAGGCCAAGCCTTCCCAAGGATCGGAAGACAGCAACCCCCTCCCTCGGCGAGCAAAACCCTTCACATGCCGAGGTCACATGCAGATCACGCAAAAGCCCGAGGCTGTGGTGAGGAGCAGCTTAGGTGTCTCGTCCTCTCAGTCTGGTCTGGGATTCAGAAGAGAGGGTCTGCGTAAATCAAACATACAAATTGATGTTCAACAACCCATCGTTGCTCCAAACAAAATCGGAAAACCTATCAGTGTTCCGCGATTCTCTTCTGGGGGCATGAACAAGTGTTTATATGTCATCCGCATTTTTTTGTACTTCCATTCATTGTCCAGATTCCTCCAACTCCATCGACTTCTCTCTGCACAGCACGAAGGGCTCGCGTTGGACATGAGGCTCTTTGCTGTTTCCCTCTTGCGATCCAGGAGCGAAATTCCACCCTCCATCCCCCCCTCCCGCGCCTCAACCGGTGGAACAACAATCCCTCGATTTCAACACACTCGTCCAACTGGAGTTTATGAGCCTCTTCCCGTTTCAGCCATGTCTGAACCCACTCAAGTAGGAAAACAGTTGACTTGGCAAACCAGGAGTTGAAGCCACTAAGGGCCTGAAACCATGAATTCCACGAAGGGAACCATTGGCTTCAACCCGTTACCACTGGTTACTTTGGGAAGTCCCACCTTTCACCTTCAACTTGATTCATGTTTTTTTTTCAAGTGTTTGCCTTCCCTTTTATTTGGGTTCAACGGCCTGGTCGTTCAACGCCCTCGATCCAAACCAACGGCGAACCGTTTCCCAGCTCAAGAGCTCGCCAGCTCCTGCTCTAGCGTCACCACCGGCTTGATGGTGGCCTGCAACAGAGGCTACACCTCTGGACACCGCCCCCCTGTTTTCCTCTAAACGCAAACTATATATATATATTAATATATATATATATATATTATTTTGTGTGGTCAGCCCCTCACCACTGATCTACCTTTTGTTTTTTGAAGTCCTTTCAAATAGTTCTTGTGTATTGACAGTACACATATTTAACGCCTGGTATCATGGGTTTAATGAGTTGTAGACTGATGTTTAAGATATGCAACATCATGAACATGTGCGTGTGTGTGTGTGTGTGTGTGGGTGTGTGTGCAAAACCCCTGACCGCATTCTGGCCTCTAAGAGCATTCCACATTCAATTGGGCATGGACAAAACCATGCATTCTTACAGTACCTTGTTGTGTTCGACGCTTGCAGAGTGAAACAAAACACTGATTTTGCACGGTATTCTGTAAATGTGCAAGAGCTAAACCATATGTAGGCTTGACTTCACTCTTCCTAATGTGCCATGCATTTGATAAAGAAGCTACTTGTTTCAAAGTAAAAAGTAAAACAAAACATACGAAGAACAAAAACAGCAACTCGGGAACACCAACAAACAAGAACAATCACGAGGACAAGAATCGTTGGTTTAAGAGTTGTTTTGCTGTTTTGCTGAACACTTTCAAACAACCGACAAACTGTGGGAAAACCAAAAGGAACAAACACGAGAAACCCAAAAGACACAATTTGGGGCTGCAACCAAAGTTTCTCCCCGAACATCTTTGCTTTGCGTCATACCTCCCAAACACAACAAACAAGTCTGGCTGACGCACAGAAAACCAACAAACCGCAGAGTGTTTTTGGTCTTTGGGCATTCTCACCAAGTGTTGTTGCTTTTGTGGATATTTTCTCCCTTGTTCTTGCTGAGTGTGACCATATATGCACACGCCTTGCTTCGATTTGCATTGACACGACCTCGGTCTAGATTGGACTGAAAAGAGGAGCAAAAGGGACTTTGAGATCTAAATAGCATTCAACAAGGACAGAGTTGAATTGGAATTTCAATTTTAAAGCAGAATTCAACAGCTGGCTTTGAACTCTTGACTTAAGTTTCATAAGCATCCTTATAAGGCTCCCTACCGGCTCCTATAATGCTCCCATAAAGCTCCTCACTGGAAAGGTCCTCAGTGTAAAGCGCCTTTCAAGGCTCCGTACAAAGCTCCTTGTAGGGATAGTCTCAAGATCCTTATAAAGCTCTGTGTAAAGGCTCCTCGTCCTTGTGCAAATCCTTTTAAAGCTGCTTGTAAAGCTCCTTATAAGGCCTCTTACGAGGCTCCTTTATGAAAGAGCTTTACAAGATCCTCTCAAGGCTCCTTATAGCAAATAGGATGATCATGTTTTAACACAATTTAAGAAAACGGTCAATATGATATATATTCACAATGATGATTTAATGAGGAACTCCCAAATATGATGTTAATGTAAATATGTGTTTAAACAAGTAACTTTATAAGGAACAAGTTTAATCAAATATTTGATTCAAAATACATTAGCACAAACATATGGCTGTGGCTCAAAAAACACGGTACCAAAATGGAACCCTGGTAAGTGGAAAAATGAGCCAAAACCTGCGTAACCCCTCCTGTTTAATTTTGAGCCACACCCATATTGTTTTGTGCAAATACTAATGATTTACCACAAAGTATTGCATTTGTTGGGAATATCACTTATATCCAGCACTTGTCAATGGTTACCCAGCATATGAATTAATAAATTCACAACTGCATTAATAAAAATGGACTCCAGTCAGAATGTACATGTTGATTTAGAATTAAACATACTCATCCGTTGTCCAAAAGACTTCGAATCATTGAATTAGACTGAGTAGTATGTAATAAAGATGGACTCTTGTTCGCAGCTTATTCAAATTTGCCGATGGGTCACAAAACAAACAGGAAAGATATGCAATGACCTACAGGCAGGACATCTTTCAAGAAAAATGTGCCTTTGATTTGCAGATGGGACAGAACGCACACAGGAATAAGAGGCAAAAGGTACATCATGGGGGTGGGTGGTGGGGGCTCAGCATATATATATATATAGAGATAGATATACGTGGATTAGTATATAATATGTATACTTGAGAAGCGGGTGAACAACAAACGGCATGTTCTGACCCATTAATTGCCAACATAAGAAAAGCAACCTTAAACGAGCACAGAAAATAATGGACCAAGTCCAAAGCAAAGGCCAAAGACTTCCTGGCAAACCATGCCAACGATATTGTGGGAATGTGGTGAACAAGTCGAAGATATCCATCCCTGCAGCCAGCCCAGCCCGCGAAGGCAAGGAGAACGCACACCTCGCAGCAACGTCCCATCCTGCTCTTCCTCCCCGTGCACGGGCTCCTTCACTTCGCCGGGCCCTCAGATCGAATCCATCCGGATGTTCGGCCAATGAGCTAAACCAAACCGCTTGAAGGGAAGCCTACAGGATGCCTAAGCACATGCAAGAGCAAATTCGTTTTGGACCACCCAGCTCCATGCAGAAGGGAGATGTTGCCCGTGCCATCGACTCATGTCGGCCAACCGATATTTGGATGAGGGGAAACATAGCTCAGCGCCCAGCCCAGACAGGTCATCTTCGCGATCTGCCGGATCGGGCTTGGGCCGTTTAAGCGTGAATGATTGAGCATGCAGTTTCTGCACCGCCCAAAAGGACGCCTGCCCACTGCTTCCAGGAAAAACACAGAAACAGACAAGAACCGTTTGCATGGCCGGAGAGTCCAATCTGTGGGATTCCGTGCAACATAAACTCATAGCCCAATCTCATTCTGTTTGAAGCTCCAGTCAATCTAGCGCCGCTCAAAGAATCCAGCGCACCATACTGCTGCTTCATCGTACCCTTTTCAAAAAGAAACCCAAAGAGATCGTTGACTTTGGGAGAAAGTCATTACGAGAATCCCAAATTCAGACCCAACAAAGACGCCTTGCACACGCGCTTCTTCCCTTGGGTCATCCCCTTGTTGCTTGTCCTCTCGGGTTCCAAGTGAGTGCCCGATACCTATGCCAAGGCAACTGCATTTGGGCGGCTGCCTCGGTAAAGTCGAGCCGTAAAGTGGAGAGTTTACTTGCCAAACAACGCGAGCTTCCTAAGGATTAAGTACCAGAAGACTTCTCCTTCCACGCTCGGAAGGACGTCAGCGAACGAAAGTACCCCTTTTTCGGAAGACCATTTCATCTCCAGTGGAACCCTTTCTATTTTAAGGAGGGTATCCCTTCCGCCCCCGCACGGCCATGGACGGACTCGTCGGACTCGTCGGACTCGGGCCTTGCAGCCCCGCTTGGTGTCCCAAAGCCGCAGGCTGCCTGGCAAGCGCTGCTTGCGCTTGCTGGACCAAAGCCGTGAACCGAAAAGCCGTGGAGCTTCGGAGCTGATGGCATTCCTTTGCTTTACAAGGGAGCTTGAAGTGAAAGCAACCATAGGTGGGCCTTCTCGAAAAACCGATGGGTGTTGCTGGTACATGGTGCATAAAGCCCTTCTAAGCCAGTGACCGATCAACAGGACACCGAATGCAACCAACTCGCAGCCTTCGCCATCCAGGGTCACCGCCAAGCTGATGGTCTGGCACGCCGCCGCTCCCAGGACCTGATATCGCGCGTGGCCAGGTTCCTGAAATCAGCAAACCTCCACTCCCATGATTGTTGGGAAAGAGTTGTATGTGTCTGTTTTTTTTTTGAGGGTACCCCCTGCGCGGCAAGTTTTAAAGGGAAACTAAAGAGAAAACCAGCATTTTGGGGGTACCCAAAAAAACACACACCTAACCTTTGGGGCCATGACTGTGGAACAACACCCTTACGGCTGGCTTGATTCTTGCTCAAGTCAGGCTTGACCCCCAATGCGGATCGATCGGAGCCCCACGTCTTTTTGGTTCCTCAAAGGGAAACCAGTTCAGAACCTGTCCCACTCGAACGAGCACCATGGAAGCACCATGGATTTTGGCTGATTTTTCAGGTATTCACCCATATATGACGGGGCGTTGAGCCGGCTTTAAGGGTTCTACCCGATTTCAGCATATCGAGTCTCTGCCAGGTCCTAACGTAGCGAATCCCATCTAGTTGGATATATTTCTCATCTACATGATGTTTCTTGGTTGGCAAACCCCTCATAAACATTGTAAACCTTTGGTGTTTGTTGGTGTTCCCTGATCCACTTCGCATGTATGAGGCCATGTCAATTGCGTTTTCCCATCTCGCTGCGCTCACAAATCTATGGCAAGTGCCCCACCCGTTTCATTGGAGTATCTCGACTCTGGGAAAGTGGGACCTTCCGGGGAAGCCATCCTTTGTTCCTTCTGAGACATTGACATGAACGTCAGAAGGGGCTAAAAAGGACCAACCCACGGAAAGGAGTGCTTTCTGAAAACTAAGAGGGTGTGTGAAGGATGAATTCACCTTCAGCAAACTGGAAGGGTGGGTTCTTGGCAAAGGGGAAGACGTTTCTGGGCTGCTGGCTGTCGTTGGCTCAGGCGGTGCGGAGGCAAGGTGCCGGGCCAGCAACTGGCCGAAAGCGCAAGAGCGGGGCCGGGAGGGGCAGCTGGGGCCAGTCGCTGGACAATTGGACTCAGGCTTCACAAAAAAAAACGAGGTTCCAAAAACAGTACTCCCCCATGTTTGACCACCTCACAAAGATCAGCTCGAACGAGATCCAAAATTCATCATGTTTGACCACCAAACAAAGATCCGCTTCCCCTTTTGAACCGAGGCCAGCAACGACCTACGAAGAGGGTTTTGGAAATGAGCAACGGCGGGGCCTTCCAATGACGAACTAACTGAGGGGGGGGTGATGCTTCCCTGGCTAGTATAATTATCCGGTGTCCAATAACTTGCGCTTCCCTTCCCTGGCATCCCTCAACTCTGCTCTTGAAAGCGGGCAAGTCGTACTTGTCTCTATGTGGCAAACTCGGACCGAAGCAAACACACGCGTCGGTCACTGCTCCCCTGCAACACGAGGTCTAAGGTGGACCTTTGGGGCCTGAGACCCTTTGGCCAAGAAACATCTTAGGTCAGGTGTGGGCCTGAAGTACAGATGGCTGTGTTGCCTCATGTTGCCTCCAGCCACCCCTGCGCAAAAGCAGCAAAGAAAGTTCAACAGTTGAAAGCTACACAAGTCAGGAGTATAGCGCGGGTGCAACTGCCGCTGCCGAAAGCCGCGAAGCGGCTTGCTTGCCCCGCCGTGTCGGTCTGCATGCAATACTGGTGGACCCAACCTGAGCTTGACAGCAAGTCGGCTCAAGGCACTGAGCAAGCCACGTGGTTCACAAATTCATTTACCGTCAAGTCCAATGAAGTCCTCAGACTATTTGATAGAGACTTCTCCAGGGGAATTCTCTTGTTTTTGCTTCAGTGCAGAGAAAAAGACCTTTTTCACTTTAGCTTTGATTAGTCCCAGTTTGGTGGGCTTTATCAAAATTTGACAAGTTTTCAGCTGAATATTGTAAGTTGGGAAAAAAATTGGCAAGTTGTTTTGTTGGCAAAAACTGCAAGGAAATGAGGGTTTAGGGTCCAAAAAAGGCTCCTAGACTCTACTGTTTAGCAGGCCTCGCTAAAGCTCGCCCTGCCTTAAAAATACAGATCTTCCAAACTAGTCGTGCCAAAAGCCATTTTCAGGACGCGTGGACCAGGAGCATTCTTACAAGCTCTCGTCAAGTCCAATGAAGTCCTCAGACTATTTGATAGAGACTTCTCCAGGGGAATTCTCTTGTTTTTGCTTCAGTGCAGAGAAAAAGACCTTTTTCACTTTAGCTTTGATTAGTCCCAGTTTGGTGGGCTTTATCAAAATTTGACAAGTTTTCAGCTGAATATTGTAAGTTGGGAAAAAATTGGCAAGTTGATTTGTTGGCAAAAACTGCAAGGAAATGAGGGTTTAGGGTCCAAAAAAGGCTCCTAGACTCTACTGTTTAGCAGGGCTCGCTAAAGCTCGCCCTGCCTTAAAAATACAGATCTTCCAAACTAGTCGTGCCAAAAGCCATTTTCAGGACGCGTGGACCAGGAGCATTCTTACAAGCTCTCGTCAAGTCCAATGAAATCCTCAGACTATTTAATAGAGACTTCTCCAGGGGAATTCTCTTGTTTTTGCTTCAGTGCAGAGAAAAAGACCTTTTTCACTTTAGCTTTCCCTTGGAAAATCGGAAGTACGGGATGGATACGTCAGTGAATGAGGTCCTGGGAAGTTGCAGGACCTGACCCCAAATAGTTTCAGCCATGGCTTCCTTTTGAAACACTTGTCCAAAGTCATGATAGGAGCTTGTGTTGATCTCTCAGTGAGCTACTCGTGGCTAGAACTTGTGCAGACTTGATGGGTCTCCCTCGTGCCCTATTTGACACACACACACAAACATGTTGGGAATGGCTCATAGGTTTTTCTTTAAAGAGGTCGGGGATATGTCTCGAAATAGGGGCCCCCGCAAGAAAAGGCTGTTCTGTGCACTTTAAACATCACCCCACAGGAGCATCCTCGCAAGACTGCCCCCGTGGCGAGCCATCCGGGGTCTGCACAGTCTGCTCCCACAGACACCAGCACGCGGTCCTGAGGCGTTTGCCCAAGTCGGCAAAAAGGAGATGTCGGTATGCCTCATCTAAAATGAGCACCAGCCCCCCCGCCAAGAACAAGAAACAGAAAAGAAAGGCGTGGTTCGGCTTGGAGGGGTTGCTCCACGTTTTTGCATTCAGGTGTCATGATGCTTCCAATGATCTTGTTCCCCGCTCGACACTTAAACATACCATGAGTATACCATACCAGGAGAGCCTCAGCGGAGCGCCAGCTGAAACTCTCCTGAAGAGGGGCAGTTTGTCCAAAGTAAGGGGCGTGTTACCACTGCTTTCTCCCTGGTTGCATTTCCCTCCTTGTTGATTGCTTGAATGTCTGGCCTTACATGAAGAATGCAAATTCCCTCCGTGCTGTGTCTTCTTGTTCACCGTTAAGTACGTGAACGGAATTGTTTCGAATTGGCTAGACTTGTGCCCCAGAGTAAACAAAAGCAACCAGTCAGTTGCAGCCGGCGTTAAGCCGTTCTTGATTGATGCAATGCGGTTTCTATGTGCTCTTCCGCAGTGCAAGGGCGTGCAGCTGTTGGCAAGGGGTTTCAAATCCATCGCAAAGGGGTCCCTACTTTTGCCAAGTTCTGAACAAGTGCTCATTCAAAAGTCTTTAGGAAAGATCAATGTGCTCATTCTGAACCGACCGTCAAACGTCTGCTTCAAGGACGTTCAGATGCTTTGTCAACCTGCTTGTGGTGAGTGGGTGCCAGCCTTAGGTTGGAGCGGCTCAAGTCTAGCGTTAGGATTCCAGCAGTATCAAATAGGTGTCTCAGCCTGACACATCCCGGAGTATATCCCGGAGTTTCTCAGGACCCAGCCATACACCAGAAATGTCACGGCAGGACTCTAAGTCTGCGTGTGTGTACGCGCACACAACCAAAAGGAAACGTCGTGTTGGGTTTCTCATCTTAGGACACACCTTCCCACAGCCTGTCCACCACCAATCGCCCCTTTTTGAAGACCGGCTTTGTGGCAGCTTCAACCCAGTTGCCATCCATTTGTTGGGGGTACGCTTCTTTAGCGGAGGAGGCGGAAGCCAATGCACTTTTGTGATCGAGCCAAGTGGCCCGATGAAAGGCCAGCGCGTTGATTGCCCCGTAGTGTCCAGGCAGCATCCTCAAAGCGGCCGTTGCTTTCGGACAACTCAACCAAAAATCGGACAAGAACCCCCTGATGTCCCTGGCAAAGGCCACATGCTAGCACCTTTGCGAGTCCTTGTCCTTAAGTGTGTGACAACCAGGGTTTCCGCTTCCCCCAAACCACCAAGAAACAATTGGAATATATGTCCTCTCCCTGGAACAGCGTAAGAACGGGCTCTGTGTGTTTCAGAGGGTCCTTTTACTTTCAACCACAAGGATCGGCTATGCATAACCATTTCTCCAAATGCAGGAGTTCGATCCGCTGGGCGTAATCCCAATGGCATTTTGGGGCACCTTTCTGCAGTTTCCATTGATTTGGTGTGTTTCAGGGTGCCTTGTAGGTCCGGGATACCAAAAGGAAAACCCATTTTTGGGAGTCCAAATCATTTCCTGTGACACATGCCTGTGATACTGCTCCCACTTGCTGCAACTGCCAATGCGCATTTGGACAGGGCACGTTCGAAGAGAAGGGCCAGCGGCGGTGTTTACCTCGGCGAAAACGGCGCGACGCCTGCGGCTACCCAACAGGACATCCGTGTTTGTTGGATCATTTTTTGCGGCAAAACAAAGGGAGACCAACATCACCCCTCCATGGTTTCTGTTTTGTTCCAACATCAGGGAAACCCAAAAGGACCCCACTTCAGGTCAAAGGGACCGCCTCTCCGAACCTCCCAATTTTCAAGGGTCCGGAGCCAAATCTAGGGCGCACCAAAGGGAACCTAGCCTTTTGCAAAAAAAAAAGACCAGAAGGAGACCTCTCCATGCAGAATGGGAACCAAACGCAGCTCTTTCCAACGGCTCGGCGAGCGACAGGACTGGAATTCGGGGTCCCGGCCAGCGCCAGGGAACCCTGGGAGCCCCCAACGGCCTCGGAATCCCGGAACCGCGGCGTCTTCAGGTTTGGGGCCTCTTTAAAGGGAAGCCCCAAGTGGTAACATGGCGCAAGGGGTCGACCCGATCCCACACAAACTCAAACATGCTTGGTAGATTTGGAGGGAACCCGGGAAACTCCTTTTACTTGACACCTCGGTGAATCAAACAACCCATCTAAAACCGGGCAAGAATCGAATAGCCGACCCGGTTTCCAGAGGTTTCAAGCGGCTCGATGGATTCCCAACTGCTTGCGTTCTGAGCATTTGCAACAGAGGGGACCAAATTGGGGCGATGCCACAAATCGGGGATGGAAACCAAGCAAAGCAAAGGTTTGCAACCCGCCGCATTGGTTGATATGCACCCCCCGGGTTGGGACCTTGAGAAGTGTTCCCTTCTTGTAGATTAACACCCCCAAAAGACAGAGGGAGCAGGCAGTAGATATCCGGGAGCAATGTCAAAACGCTAGCTGGGTACGCCGCGCCCTTCACTGGCCCTTCACATTTGCCCAAATGGGCAGAAATCCAAAGTTGATATGTCGACTATCCTCCCCTGTCCGTCGCATTGGAGAAATCCTGTAGGTTTGGCTTTGAGATTTTGACAACTGGGCCAGGGCCATGGACGCCTTCACACGGACGCCT